CATTCATTTTTTAATAACTATAATTGATGCCAAAATTAAATAACAACAAACCGAAAAAAAAAAAAAAAAAAAACCCAAACATGTCACGTTAAAGACAAATTATTATATGCATCCACGTGAATTCAGTTATTTATATTTATTATTTTCAATCAATTAAGATAAATTAGATTCTTATTAATTTTATAGTTATTGGAATTATATAATAATTATTAAAAATATATTTTTATATTTAAAAAATTATTTATATTAACTTGAAGACTGTTTGAGTCTTTCTACTTGTATAATATTGAATAGTAATAAAACAATTTTAAAAAAAATATTGGGATATAATGTAACGCCCCGTTTTTTTTCCTCTCTTAACGGCGTAGTTTAAAACATTTTCATGGCCAAATACGAAAGTTTCATTCCAAATCAGTTGCACTCATAGAAACACTACCACAATCTATTATTCAAAGTTAAAGATAAATCTGCAACTATACATGTAACATCACAATGAAATACAATTTCATATACTCCCAGTATACACACTATCTACACTAGCACTAACTTTTACACACTCAATTCCGCCAATAAAAATTTTTGCATTGTTTCTCTATATGCTAGCCTCGGAAACCAGCAACTCTGATCCCGACTCCATCTCTACTTCATCTGTGAATAATAAAGAGTGAGTACATATAACTCAGTATAGTAAAAATTAAGTTACAAGTATCATATACAAAAATATGAAACCCAGTATTTCTATATGTATTATATCTCCGTAACCTAAGTCATACCTTCTTACCACCCTAGAACTACACAGGACTAATACTTACCTTCGGTATTTTAAATATTATACATATTAAGTGTGACCGTCCTCCGACGTCACCCCCAACCGTACAAATGTTCTCACCCGTCATCAGTATCGGTGGCCATCAATGAACCTTCTATATCTCGACCCCTAACAGGCCACACACACACATATACCATTTTCTTCCGTCACCAATATCGGCGACCCAATCCCTTACCCGTCGGAGTCTCCCTACTATCACCACTATCGGTGATCAACTTACTCATTCTAGATAACAACAACCAATATCGGCATCCCCCCAATGCTACCAACTCAAGAATAATATCACCCCGTTTTTACTCTACAACATTGTCC